GTCGTTGTTCCCATATAAAAGCAGTATGCCACAGCGAGTGTCAATCGAGCTACCATCTGATGATCTGACAACTTCGAACCCAGAGTGTACTCTACTTCATAACAATATGGAGTCGCCGATAAGTTTCCTAATCGCGTTGAATGAAGCACGTAGAAACGTGGATTAGATGTTTAGTAACCTTGGCGAGGGCATTGAAACTGAAAGACAAGAAAGCCTCTTTACTGATTTATTTTTTGCCTCGGTAAGATGTGAAGCCATAAAGAAAATATCCATTACAGTGTACCGCAAGATAGTGTAAGGCTTAACATAGGAAATTTCAATCATTGTAAAAGAAACATGGGTCAAAAAAAGCTGGTTATTGCAGAAAGAACAAGATGTCTGGGAAATATACAGCGAGCTTCTTTTTTTTATAATGTTTATATTCTTTTTTTCTGAATAAAATTGTATTCTCGTGCGACAGCGTTCGTAGCTCGTCATATATTGAGACAGAGAGAACGACCCCACCTGCTTTGTATCAGGTCTTCGCCTTAGTTTGATGTTTAGACGAGTGGATCAGACTGTCCTATTTTCTGGTGAAAAGGTAAAGAAAACTGACATTGGTTGTTGAGTGCATTGTGTGCCATATTATTGTCCTTCGCTTTTGTACTTGTTGGTTTGTTTTCCTTATCCAAGTATCTGGTTTCAGAAACAAAGTTAGATGGCTGGTCTATCCGTAAAAATTCTGGTGTTAATATTAATGAGGTGTTATGGAGATGATCAGTACGTGATATTCCTCAGGGGGTTTAATAAATATTTTCATTTTATTTATTAAACTTAACCTACTGCTACAACTTACATTCCATGGAAACATTTTGTAATCTGAGAATAGAACACAGATTAATTTTCTGTGACTCTGTCAAGGTTGGCAGTGGATGAAGTTCTAACCTTCTCAACTGGGACACGCCACACTGCACACGTTGAGGCTAAGTATTTTTATTCCCTTCGTATTTCATTAGGAAGGAATATGTTCCACTTAGTGTATTCTGAAGAATTGTTGCTTTGGGGAACAGAAACCCAGGAGGGTGCTTTCTCGGCCGCTAGATCTCAATCACTATAAGTCCAGGTTTAAACATTATCTCTCTCACAACAACCACCTTCAAGAATCTACCTTTCATGGCTCTTGGAAGAACATTTGTAAAAAAAAAAATTAATGGTAGACATTATAGGGAAAGGAAGATTCATGCCTTTTTTAATATATTAATAGTTCTCGTCAAAACTGACAACGAATATTTACTTGCCTGCGCAGGTAAAGTAGCTATAAGACAGTGGTTTGATCAAATCGACCCTCATCTATTCACGGGATTGTCCACTTTAAATGGTTGACGAGAACGACAATTTTTCTTATTTACATTTGTACTAATATCCTCATCTTTGCTGTCATTATCAAAATCTTTCAACCGCTGTACTCTCCAGCCGTCTACAGGTGCCTGCTGATCCTGGAAACCTTCAGCCAATTTCAAATAGATCCCTTTGTTCAGGCTTCAACCCCTCTCCAACGGGCGGGATGTGGAAGATGCTCGGACGAATTACATTTCCTGATCACGGCAAGGCAAACCTCCACGCCATAATACTTACATAGTAGCAAGCAACCCACATTCCATCCTTATTCCATCGGTGAGAAGTTCCAATCGAGCAGCTTCTCGCGAAACACTGGTATGTGGAACCGACTCCCAACAGGATGTTTCCCCGATCACTACTATCATAACCTATTTAAGACGAGGGTTAATCGTTATCTGCCTCACCTATACACACAAATGGCTTTCTAACGTGAGCCTCTACCTCGAGTGGCTCCGGTCCTTGTAAAGGGTGACTATGACTGTAAAACAAAAAAATTAACACAAACATAACGTTCCCCTGCTCTCTGTTTATGCCTAGGGATATCTCATCTTGACTCAGACCCAGAAATTAAACAGTTACTATGCCGCTAAATATATGAACCGACACTTTAATCTGCTTAGGTATTATCCAACTTGAAGAATAATAATAATAACAGTAAATATGGGCCCTGTTTATTTTAAGAATTTCACGCATGGTAATAAATCAATCCACTAAGATGCAGGGGGTTACTGCGAGTGAAAGAAAATGAGAAAAGATTACTGAAGAGAAAGGACAAGAAAAATGTGTCTAGCTTCACTCTCGTGCTGGTGTGGGGGGGATAGTGATCATCGGCGCCAAATTAATACAATGTTGTATAGCCACCTCATGCTGGGAAGCTCTTGGTCATCGACGCCAATTTACTTATATGTTGTATTTTCTCTCTCTCTTCTTATCTCGACCGGGTAACGAAATGTTTTGGGGGTCCGGAGAAGAAAGACTCAACAAAATGAATTTTAACTTATCTAGTTTATTAATGTTTCGTTGTTGAAATTTTCCAGTTAGGGTGCAGTTTCAGACACGAAAGAAAACACGTCTACATTCTTCAACGCTAAAGAAACAACTCACTGAAAAACCCTTCCATCTTTATCTTATTTCCTGCGCTGGCTCAGCCAATCAAAATTGACTTCCTTATTTTGTCTTATATCTGGTCCCTAAAGTCAACCTCAGGAAGTCCGAGCAGATAGAGACTTCCTCTAAAAGACAATAGACGACTAAACTATCATTTAACAAAAGGACAGGTATTAAAAGGACATGCGATGACGATTGATGTTGCATTTAAATTTTGGAATATCGCAGTTGACAGGAAAGCAAGATAGAACAATGTTCCACATGTCAGAATGGTGAGCGAAGAAACCATTAAAATAGGACTTACGGTTATATCTAGCAATTTTAATAGTAAAACGATGAGATCCGATTGTCAATCTAGTACTCCACATAAATTCATGAAGTCAGGGTACCGAAGTGGAAGATTATCAGAACAATTGCCATGAAAGTGTTTATAGAAAAGTCAGAGGAAGCTACGTTAGGGCGGTGGAAAACTGACTGAAGTTGAGATGCCAGACCAAGACTAATAACATTGCAGAATCTTTTTTGAATTTTATGAAGAAATCTGACTCTCTGGAAAAATAATTGTAAAACTGTATACTCACCCACTCTATGACTCCACCTCCGCTTAAATGTTGACTACGAATACAAGAAGCTTTTGTTGTTACTGACTAGACAGTTCAAGCATTCATGGAAAAATGATTTGCCTAAATTTTCATTCATCCATTTCTTTCTTAGTTTGAGAATCTTTTTGCCACTGAGCACGATTTATAACAAAGACTTTTGACAAGTAGATAACATCACACTGTCATGTCAGGGTCATTGATAATAAAAAAAAGTAGCTTTATCCTTGTGTGCAGCTGTGACAACTTGCAGTCAAACACGTTGTCAAACATGACTTAAACAAATAACATTTAAAAAAAAAATTATTGCATCGTTTTTGTTTTTTTTAATTACTTTTCTTCGATTTTTTCTTTTCTTTTAGAAACATATTTTGAAGAAAATGATTGCTTTATTGATTTTCAAATAAAATTATATGAATAAAAATTACTTTTCCAAGCTGCATTAAGTATGTGCTGCATATTAATGATTGAATTGCCGACACCAGAACATCTGCAACAAAGTTTTCATCTGTTTTTTGTCTAATATATTAAGACTACTACACATTAAGATCTGACGAAGTCATATCTTATTATCGTCTATATGTTTCATTAAATAAAAAGGATAATTTTTGTTTTCTACTTTAAAACTCTACTGGGAATTAAAGTTTGTCTCCTGGACTGCTTTGCAATATCCAAAATATTATTTAAAAATTGATCATTTATGTTCTATAGAGATTCATTTTGATAAAATCTGCTCCTTTTTTATAAGACCATCGGCATCCCATAATTTAAAATCTTGTGTTGTTTCCCTCCTTGACTTTCTATTAGGAATTATCGTTTAACTCCTGTGATGCTTTTAGTCTCCAAGATATTAGATAAAGATTGATTCCATCTCCTGTGTACAGTTTCTTCTCGATTAAATCTTAAAAATATCTTTAAAATGTTTATAAAATATTTATTTATGTCTGCTGCATAATGTTGATGATCAATGGTAATGTTTCAAACATTGATAATTCAACATATGAAATATCCCAACTATGTATATATTGTTGAACTCTATTGACAACACATGTACCAATCTTCAAACACAGATGTCGGCAGCCTACATCGTGCGTCCCACACATGGCACGCCAAGCAATTTTCAATGGCACGCAGCCGCAAATGACATCACGAAGTCCGAACCAATAACTACTACAACGCAAAGTAGCTGTTTCAGTTTTGATATATACTAAATTATATACACTATATATTGCTATATAAGATATACTGTAGAACATGTATATTGACCTTGACATCTATAAAAAATACATAAGCTGTTGGCACACTCTATGATTTTAAAACCCTAAGTGGGCACACAGCAAAAGGTTACCGATCTTTGTTCTAACATGTTAATCCAGCAGAATGAACCAATGCTGTTCCCTCACCACAAGTCCGGCTAGATGTATTAAGTTACTGTGGAATGGAGCCAGGAATGCATAGAGAAATTACTACTACTATTAAAAAAAGTTAACTAAGGACTGAATGGGACTTCTCCCTCAACAAGAACTGTTGACAAGATAATCAAACGCCTTTCATCTAAGCTAAGCCCTCAAACGCACATTGTCGGGAATCACTTTTTTTTCTTTATTTCTCTTTTTCTTGTTTTTTTTTTATTTTTATATTAAATCTATTTAAATAATACAGGTTTTTTTATTTCTTTCACATAAAAAACTGTTGCCTAGTTCTGTTGAGCGCACGAGGATTAGTTTTCTCCATAAACTAGTTTCGTATCTTGGAGTAATATCATGTATATAATCACCCCACATTATCAAATAAATATATAAAGTCATTGTAACATTGTGTTTTATATTATAGAATAGTTCACTATGCTTTATATTATAGAATAGTTCTTTGTAATGGTAACTGAAAGGTAAAGATAGTTATAAAAAGAAGTCTTACCATCCAGAAGAGCGTTTCATTGGCAAAACTTTCATACTGGTCAATTGTTGATAAGACACTGAATATAAGGCAAATAAGCACCATCATAAACCTGCAAAAAAAACAAAAAAAGGATTTTCATAAACTATTGAACAATTCGAGTTCAATGAAAGTTTCCATGGACGCAGAATTTTTCGATGAAAAAACTTTATTCAATTCAAAATGGGTTCACTTTTATTAGGCTTGCTAGCTAAGATGTTTTATCAACAAGAGTAACAATTCAAAGCGAATAATTCTCATTTCTCATCTACATATATGTATATAACAACATCTCTCTCACATCCTTCAAATCTACAAATCTACCATCCGTCCTTGCATTGAATACTGTTGCCATATATGGTCTGGTGCCACCGCTGTTCAACTCGAGGCCCTAGACAAAATCCAGAGGCGGATATGCAATGTGAGAGGTCATTATCTGGCATCTCGTCTACAGTCTCGTAATCGTGTTGAAGCTTCCCCCTGTTTTTCTACAAATATTTTCATGACAACTGCTCTGACGAGCTACTTTCACTGTTACCCCAACTGCATGAATTTAAGAGTGCTACTAGTTTGGCATTTCGGTCCCACTCTTTCACTGTCGAAACAGTTAAATGTAACCTCCCCTTCTACTCCAAATGCTTCCTATCTCGCACTTCTCGACAGTGGAACACCGTTCCTCCTACTTGCTTCCCTGATAGCTATGCTCGTCAAATATTCAAATGTAATGTCAATCGACATCTTCTGATGCCTTCAGCCAAATTCCCGTCCTTCGCTATATCCTTTCCTCAAACACCCCCTCTTTACTCTTGCTCTTCGTGGCAATTGCTCTGACGAGCTACTCTCACTAGTGCCCGACTGCATGAATTTAAGCGTGCTACTAGGTTGGCCTCTCGGTCCTACCTTTTCACTATCGAAACAGTTAAATGTAACCGCCTCTTCTGCTCCAACAGCTTCTTCTCTTGCTTTTCCCGACAGTGGAACTCCCTTCCCGTTTCTTGCTTTCCTGATAGCTATAATATTCAAATAATCAAATGTAATGTTAATCGACATCTTCTGATGCCTTAATTCTGATCCCCGCCCTTCTCTTTATCCTTTCCTCAGATACCCCTCTTTACTCTTGCTCTCATTCTCTGTAAACCCCTTCCATGCTAGTGCCACTCCCGTGTTGCTTGGTGTGAAATGTTTTTGTTTTTTTTTTAAATCAGAAAAGTGGCAAATCTAGCGGAATAACACTCGTTCCTCGGCTACATATAAAAAAATAGTTTCTTTTCTTTCTTTTTTTACAAAATAAAAGGCTCGGAGAAACTCAATGTAGAGGAAAGCAGAATAAAGTTTGTGATATGGATGTGAGAGGAAAAGGTAATAAGTGTGTAAGGGCGAGTTTTCAAGTGGGTTTAAAAATTGGTGTTTGTGCTTAATATTTTTTTTTAAATTGCCCCACCTAGGCTTTTGTCTATGCAAGGTTAAGTGAGGATAAAGAGGGTAACCTTTGACTCTAGATTTGAATACGTTAAAATTATTGTGTTTAGGGAAGCACACACACACACACACACACACACACACACACACACACACACACACACACACACACACACAGGTGTTTGTTCCACAGATTGCCACTTCTTGGGAAAAAAACATTACGTGGAATTTCCACATTATAATTGCAATATGTGGGAAATGAGAATAATAGGACTCTGTGGATATAGCCTAGTATTTCTTAGATGTAAATGTTTGCAGCGATGGAAATAAAGGATGTAACCATAGATATAGCAACAGAGTAATATGCTTAGGACATTGCATGTGTGGGGTAAGAGGCCGTAGAGCGGGAAATAAGTCATCACCTAAAAAGAAGTGTAAACGATTACAGATTCTATCAATGCTGAAAAGTGAGGATTGAACTTCTCCAACCCAGACCTGATGGCAATACTCCATTCTTCTATAATCTTGATCAGGTAAAGATAAAGCTACTTTCACGAGTAATAAAAAGAACTGATCATTTTTCCAGCATCCTTTAGCAATGGATCGTGCATATGATTTTTTATCTGATACACATACGTTTCGATTATTCCCCAGCTACATACAGGGCCGTATGAACCCCTCAGGTAATTTTTTTTTAAAATGTCTCTTTTTCCAGATGAACAAATAATAATTAATCTATACAGAGCAACCTCAATTTTCGAACGTCTCATATGTCGAACAAATCGATTTTCGAACAGAAAATTCTAGATGAAAATACCTCGGTTATCGAACAAAATTTCGATTCTCGAACGTCCTTCAGGAACGAATTAAATTCGTGAACCGATGTTCCACTCCATATTCATCAAGAAAAACCTTTATTAAAACAATTACAACCACATTCAAAATTTTTTATCAAACTAAAATTAAATATTAATTAAAAATTAAGTTCATTATTCGGACTATTGTCCTCATCTCTGTCGCTATATTTATTACAACGTTTCGACCGTTGTATGCTCCGGCCTTCTTCAGGTGGTTGGAATGTCGAACTGAAACATTTATTTTGCTCACTGGGGTAGACTGTGCTAGTTCCACGTGCCATGTTTTAATGGATGTCAGTATCAGTTATCTCCTGTTAATTTTTCCTCTGAAAGTTCTTTACTGCCTTAACCCTGTATTGAACTCACACTCTTTGGGTCCTCCTCTGGACGTAACCAACGCCTTTATCCACTGTGCCATGAGGACATCTGTGCATGAATTTCTGGGTATTATAAATCTAATGTAATCAGAAACCATTTTTACCAATGCTCATATTGCAATTTTTGCTGTTATCATTTCATGTTTTTACCAGAGCTCATATTGCAACTTTGTTGTTATTATCGCTTTTCTCTGGCAATCGTTATAACAGGTTCCCATATTGTATTTATTTTTATGCTTGGTCAGCTCAGATTTTTGTGGCCTAGCATATGTGCTGATTCCTTAAGTTTACGAATTTTCCAATGGTGTTCCTTGTCTATGATCTCAACCTGGTCCCACAAAGGACGGTGATCTCCCTTCACTCTAAAAGTAAGTGAACGCTTACATTTATTATTTGGTGACTGCTACTTTTGAGGTTACAATATCAAGCAGTATTTTTCTATAATCTTTAAGTTTTTACCAGTAGTGGGTGACGATTTTTAAAAATTCTTCTTGGCAAAACTCCTACAATTTCTCGATTTTACATGAGTTTCTTACATGACATGAACTGCTTTCTTTCATTTGTATCACAGATTTTCAATTGGATTTAGATCAAGATTTGACTAGGCCACTCCTAGAGCTGAAATTTCTTTTTAAGAATCCATTCTTTTGTGAATTTGCTTTGACACTTCAGATCATTGTTCTGATGGAATGTTCCAGCCCCGAGATATACTCAACTTTTGACCTGAAAACAAGACACTTTCGTTTAAATTTTTTATGGTATATTTAAAGGTCCATTGCGTCGTCAATGCGTACTATTTTGCCTGTTCAAGCTGCAACACCCCAAGTCAAGATGCTGTCACTGCCATGTTTAATGGCTGGCATCAAATTCTTCTCTTCAAATATCGTATTAGGAGATCGTCACCTATCGTTCCTCCCAAAAAGCTCTAGTTTAGTATCATCTGATGATAAAACCTTTTGGTAGAATGTCTCTAGCTTATTACTATGGACTTTATCATAGTTGGGGCGAGCAAACTTCTGTTATATCGTAAGCAGTGGCTTTTACTAGAGATTTTGCCATGAACATCGGCATTGTTCAGATTTCATCGTACTGTAGATGTATGCAAATTGATTCCGATATTGGCCAGTCAGCACTGGTGAACTGCAAACGTCACAGCAGAATTTGCCTGGGTTTGTCGAACAAGATGTCTACTTGCCCTTGCTGTTATTTTTCGTGTAAAACAAAAATACAGAGTGTAAGTGTAAGGATTCCCTTACGCTTGCACATCTTAATTTTTAATTAAGATTTTTATTCCAGATTGATAAAAATCTTTAAAAGTGGTTGTAATTGATTTAATAAAGGTTTTTTCTTAATTAATATATAGCTAATTAAGATTTGCTGATTATCTAGAAAAAAAGAGACAATTATTTTAAATATTATCTTCGGGGTTCTCTTACGTTTGCACAATACTGTATTTTTACACAATAGAATAGAAAATACATTAAAAGCAATTTTATTGGAAATTTTAACAATATTAAAAGAATGAAAAAAAATCAAATCAATCAAAGATAATGAAACCTATATACTTATTTGCCCAGACTTTTGTCTCCAAGTTGTTATATCCATGAACTTTCAGCTGTTGTACCCTACAGCCACCTTCAGCTAATCTTCTGTGAATATAGAACCAAGTCATTGTTATTTATGTGCCATAGCACATCAGGACTCATTTAATTCTGCCTGATTTTTTGATTTTTCCAATTTTGCTTGTATTTTCCACTGCACAAACTGACCGAGTTATTGGTGAACATGTAGATACCAGATAAATAAATTCATCTGACGAAAGATTTTATCCACTAAGTCTAAGGTAACCCCAGATCTCAAGTGGAGCCCACTTGTGCACTTTGACGTGGCGTAATGTTTAACAAGCTTATCTAGCTAGAACAATTCAAATTGAATAGTGATATCGATCCTCTCCTGGTGATCCATACTTTCGACTTTGTGCCACCTCTAAATCACTCTTAGTAAATTGGTAATGGTTAACAAGCTTTTGTCGTTGGATCAGTTACAACTGAGTAGTTAGTTCAATCCTACTTTTGATTTTGTTTCACATTTAAACTATTTTTAGTAAATCGCTAAAAACTAGAAAAATGGTCTGCTCTCTGAACGATCCAGAAAGTACCTGACTCTAACAGTTATGTTCTATCATCAAAAAAGCCAAATCAGACTAAAAATCAAAGATTGGTACCGTTTTATATTGTATTCTCCAGTCTTGAAAGAATTTAAGAGTTTACACAGTCTTATGGGTAATGCATTATTTTCCCCCTCCAGTACCTGTCCTTCAATTGTAAGACTCTCTCTATAGCGATTTCCATTGAAAATGTTCTTC